TCTCTCTCTCTCTCTCTCTCTCATGAATGTAACTTAGATGAGGATCAGTCTGAGCCCAAATTCACCTTGTTTGCTCGTTGGCGTGGTAGTGGTGGTATGATTAGTGCAGCTGATTTACAGTCAGTTTTAAAGCCTTTTGACACCAACGCCTGTCACTCGACTCCCTGTCCTATCCGTAAAGGTGTGGCCCAGAGGTTGACGTTCAACACCACTATTCCTACCGACTTCTACTCAGACGCCAAACTCGTTGAATTGAGCGCTAATATTGAGCACAAATTTGGCTATTATAATATTTTTTGCAGCGCAGTTACCGTTAATATAACTGGTTAAATTTATTTAACTAAACAATAAATATCAGTTATGTAAGTTTTAACAAAAATATTTTTATGTACATTTTGTCTGTTTTATTAAAAATAAATATTTTTGTTTGTGATATTGTCTTTTATAAATAGCCCGGAATATAAATATAATTCATAATAATTGTTAAAGTTAAATTATTTTATTGGAGTACATTTTATTTTTCAATATAAATTAATTTTTAACATAACATTTAGCTAATAGTAATGTTATAGCAGTGAACAACATAAAATATAATGTATATATGTTTGGGCATTCGGTCACAAATAATATAATAATAAACTAAAATATACATAAAAGTAAACATGATATACAGAATTTCATAAAACTAACCAATAAGTAAAGTAAGCAATGATTAATCGTAAAACTAATTAGATTATCATATTGCGGTACATTACTGTCAATAATTTATTGATGTAGTTTAACTTATAAATTACTTTATAAAAGATTTGATAAAATTATTTGTGTTCAATGTCATTTCAATTGAGCATTTTAAACATTTAAATACAGCATAATACAGTGTTTACATGCATTTATAAACAAGGTTAAACTATATCGCGTAAAATGTAATCAATTTATAATCTAATACTGTATAATCAAATCAGATTAATTATTTCACTTTAATTTTGTAATATATACAGTATATATAAATTTGACAAAACTGTTATCAAAAATCATTAAAAATATTTAATTATGTTTTTTAAAAATAATATTTTTGTAAACATAAATAATTATAATTTTTGAATTGTCATTAAAAAAAATATAATAAAGTTTCTGCCAATTAATTAAATTAATAATAATTTTCAATTAATTTATTATCAAATACAATGAAATCCATAAATGACGTTAACAAACCACAATATTCACTGGCATACATGTGCGGATTGGGTTCGTGGCAACCAAAATGGCTACAAATATTTGCGTCGACCAAGGTGTTTATGGTTATACTGGGCGGACTGGCCATTGCGCAATCCGCTGCGTTCAGCTACATAATAGCCAGCGTAACCACGTTGGAAAAACGGTACGCGTTCGGCAGCGCCGTATCTGGCTACATCATATTGACCAACAATTTTACCGAGTTCTCGCTAAACCCGGTAATCGGATACCTGGCCGACCGGGTACACCGGCCAAGATTAATAGCCATATGCAATCTGATTGTGGCGTTCAGCTGCTATTTAGCCGCCGCGCCGTATTTTATGTACGGCCCCGGCGTTCATCTATTAAGCCTTAGTGGCCGGGAATCGGTTGCCGGTAATAATGCGGTCAATACAAGTGCCCTGTTTTGCGATGCAAACCGTGCGGGAGATAAGGATTATTGCAATAATAGTAATAATGTTAATTCAGATACCGTAGTGTCTGACCAAACGTTTAGAGTACTGCCGGCTATTATAATGTTAGCCATATGTAGTTTTTGTAATGGTATTGGTTTTGTGGCGTTCACTACAATTGGTTATATATTTGTTGATGATTCTGTCAAAAAGAAAAATGCGCCCATTTATTTAGGTATGGTATATATTTGAGCTATCATGGTAGATTTCATTAAATTGAACGTATGGTAATTATAAATAAATAATTAATATGTAGGTCTAACGGGAGCCATACGTCTGTGCGGACCGACATTTGCATACGTGCTTTCATCCTATTGTTTGAGATTTTATGAAAACCCATTTTGTAAGACAAGTTACATGAATTAATTTTAAACACAATGATATTAATTAAATTTTTTAAATACATTAGTTGAGCCGGGCATTGGGCCAAACGACCCGAGATGGATCGGTGCATGGTGGATTGGATTTATTATCATTGGCACAATAATCATATTATTCTCGATACCCATGTTCATGTTTCCAAGAAGTTTCCTAATTAGCAAAAGAATAGAAAGTCAACAAAAACAGAATACAGACAACATGGTCACAACAATTAATGCCAAGAAAACAAACAAATTAAGTAAAATTAATCATTCTACCAAATAGATTTTAAAATTACCATATTAAATTAATAGATACTATGAATAATTATTTTACTGTTTATAATTAGGTATTTGGGGTCGAATATTAAGGTTGCTAAAAAATCCCATATATGTTTGTTATACATTGGGCAGTACATTGCGACTGTTTTCACTGGCCGGATACGGAACGTTCAACGCTAGATATATTGAGTCCCAATATCACACGTCCGCCTCCACTGCTAATCTATTTTCGGGCAAATATTCACATTTTGTATCATGATCTAAATTATACTTGTTAATTTTATAAACATTTTACATTCTGAAATTAACTAATAATTATCAGAATGACTGTAGTAAATCTGTTGCCTAGCTTGATAAATTTTGTTATTGCAACATTTATATTCATATGTATTTTTATGTTAGGCGTGCTTGGTGTAATTCCGATGTCAACGGGCTATTTACTAGGTGGTTTAATAGTGCGCAAATTTCTTCCCGGCCCTCGACTTTTAATCACGTTTATAACAGCCGTTGAATTATTATCAGCGATGGGTATTATATCGGGAATATTTCTCGAGTGCCCTCAATCACAGTTTGCAGGCACTTCACTTTCAAACACAGAGTAAGTACCGTAATGTCCCACTATTTAGGCTAGTAACATTTTAAATTTTTTATTGTGCATTTCAATGTAAAAAGAAAATATAATACAACAAAATAGTTAATTATTATTATTAGATATAATCGAATATAAGGAATTAAATAATAAAATGTCATTAATTAAATCTATGTAATGTTATAAAAGTACTAAATTTTTATTAATTTCTACTATTAACAATGATTTTATAGTTTTCAGTTTCAATCCAAGTGTAACGATAATTGTTTTTGCGAACATGCTAAATATCAGCCCATTTGCGGTCCTGACAACCAAACCAATTACTTTTCTCCCTGTATTGCCGGTTGTCGTACAAGTGATACAACAAATACTACACATACTGTAAATTATCTATTTTAATATTACGACAATAATAAATGTTATTAATTTTACACTAGAAATATACGGATTGTAACTGTTTTGATGGATCGGCAACTGATGGCTATTGTACTACTGATTGTGGAAACAATTTGTTTATTTATGTATTAATGTTAGGAATAGGGAGCATAATTTGTTATTTAGCAAAAGTTGGTAGCAACATTGTTTGTATGAGGTTTGTATTCATTTATTTGAAAATATATGCACTAGCAAATATTAAAAATAAAATAATAACAAAATTTACAATTATATTACAGAATAGTGGACAAAGAAGACAAGAGTTTTGCCATCGGTTTAATGATCTGTTTTACATGTGTTGTCGGTATTGACTAATAATAATAACAATAAATTGTAACATGTAATTTTTATATAAATATTTGCAGCAATGATTCCCTATCCTATCATATATGGCTCAGTGGTTGACGGGTCGTGTCTAATATGGGAGTCCCGGTGCGGACAGAGAGGCAACTGTTGGGTATACGACACACACAAACTGCAACGTAATCTACATTTACTAACACTCGCGCCGTATTTGACGGGTATTTGCATCGAAATAATAGCCATAGTATTGGCAAAGAGAGTGAAAAATTTGTACAATGATGAGATTGACGAATTTGAAATGTAAACTACTGGGTTAATGTAATTATTTGTAGATACCAATTTAGACAATATGTATATGCAATGAGTTATAATTTTTTGTAAACATTTACATTTTTAACCATGTAAAATATATTTATTCATGTATGGGAAATTTTACATTTATGCACTACTTTATACATTCTTACAGTACAATAGTCTTTATAATAAACGGGTTATAATAGTTATAATTGTAATTAAAAAAATAAATAAAAACTTGCTGATATGAATAATAGCAATATTTATATACTTCTATACAAAATAGAAATTTATTAAAATATTTTTTATCTCAATTCCGGTTAAAATAAATTTATTTGTTATCATTCAATTGATTATAAATTTAATCAACAAGATTAATAATAAATGTTACATAAAGAATATCAATTCATTGATGAGAAAGTGTGTATTACTTCAAAACATTATAACCTTCATAACTTTGATGTGATTTTAAATTGAAATGTTGAAGGATATAATAATTGTTAACACAAATTACATTTTGATTAATAATGGTAATAAATTGTATTTTATAGTAACTCTAAAAGTAAAAATGTTTAATTAATATCATGTAGATAATTTTACTTAAACATTGATTAAAACTAAAAAACTAGTAACTACTAAATTATATTTTAGCAAAAATTTTATTTCAAGTATATCTCATAATATAAACAATTTTATCATCTTGCACTTTATGTTAGTCAATTGACTACATGCAGGTGTAATAAATCAATTATCTCATAATTATTTATGTTATTCTAATGTGAAATGTTAAAAACTTATAAAAATGTGATTTATATGTAAATTTAATAAATTGCATATGTATATTGTAATAATATTTTATGAATTAAATAAGTATTATAATAAAATAGTAAATAACCATGTCAAGTTCAAGTACTAAATATGAAGTGAATGGCAATAAAATGTATAAAAGTAAAAGTAAACATGACCAAGATGACCAAATGGACACCAGTTGTGGGCTTGGTTCATGGAAGCCCGGGTGTTTACAAATGTTTGCCACACCCTTTTATTTTGCTATAGTGTTCTCCACAATAGGTATTGTGCAGAATATGTCCGCCACTTATTTAATAGCAGTGTTAACATCACTGGAAAAGCGATTCGCGTTTGACTCCAAGATATCCGGAATCATATTAATTGCTGACAATGTTATGGAAATGATTGTATGTAACAATTATTTATATATTTATTATCACAAATAATTATTATAGTTTAATTAAAAAATGTTTAAATATGTATTAATTAAAGACCATATTTTAATTGTTACTAGCTTAGTCCAATTGTTGGCTATTTGGGCAACCGGTTCAGTAGACCCCGTATGATAGCACTGAGCGAATTAGTATTAATATTATCATGTGTGGTCAACGCGTCGCCATACTTTTTCTACGGCCCGGGAACACACCTACTATACGAAAACAGTGTGACCAGCAAAATGTTTACGAATACCACCCGATACGAGGTGTGCGCCGAGTCACGGGACTCAGTCGATTGCTCAGCCAGTGGTGGTCACTCTACCGTATGGTTGGCAGTATTTATATTGATACTAGGTAGCGCATTAAGGGGCATTGGATATAGCGCGTTTTGGTGTTTTGGCGTGCCCTTTATTGATGATAGTGTTAGCAAGGAGAATTCGCCAATATATATGAGCTTTTTGGTCATCCTGCGAATGTTTGGACCCGCCGGTGGTTTTCTACTAGGATCGTTTTGTTTGAAATATTACGAAAACCCATTTTGTATGTTACAAGTTATAAATTATACGTTAAAAATTTTATTGTACAGTATACAATTGTTTATTGTAAGCTCGTTGTAAAATACAAAGTTGTTCTGTATAATTTTAAATGTATTTTATAGTAATTTATACAGTATATTTTTACTAGTTGATCCTGGTGTTACGCGCACTGATCCAAGATTTATTGGCGCATGGTGGATCGGATTTCTAGCCATCGGATTCATATTATTTTTCATAAACATGCCCATGTTCCTGTTTCCAGCTCAATTAAAAGGAACCACGCTTAAAGAAATAACTAGCAAGGATAAAAGTGGTCGAGGTGATTATTAATGTAATATGTATTTGCTAACATTATAAATATATACATTTAATTACCTTGACAGGCATATGGGTATGCGCAAAACGTCTGGCTACAAATCCACTGTTCATGTTTAACATGATAGGCAACGGTTTGCGATACAGCGGGTTTGCCGGTTACGGTATCACCAAGCCCAAATACATGGAGTCCCAATACCGGGTGTCTGGCAGTAAGGCCACGCTGCTGACCGGTGTGGCTGGCATGGTGCCCGACGCTATTGGTATATTAGTTGGCGGTGTAGTGATCAAATACTTTAAGCCCAAACCACTCACCCTGATCGTTTACATGTTTGCCATTGAATGGGTGGGCAATGGCGGTATGCTGGCCTCCATGTATTTGGGCTGCCCGCCGTTACAACTAGGTCCACTTCAAGAAATTGGGACTACAAAGTACAATTTTTAATGTTGTTTTATTATGATAACAATTATTTATCTATTAACATTTATTTTACATATCATAGGTTTACTATGAATGCCGAGTGTAATGCTGGCTGCGATTGCTCTACGAGTATATTTACCCCTATCTGTTCAGCCGATAGGATGACCACATATTTCTCACCATGTTATGCAGGCTGCAAAAATATAGATAGAACTACTGGGGTAATGAGTTTATAATTATAACCATGAGTGCCATAAATGAGAGAAAAAGTAATTTTATTATGACGTGGTTCTTAAAAATGGCAATGATGATTATAACTATCATGTAATATTAACGGTTTATTTTTGTGAATTGTGATAGATTGCTTCAAATTGTTCATGCATCGCTGACCATGGTGGTACGGCCACAGTTGGTTATTGTAAAAGCGATGCCGAGAGTTGTACCAACTTATATAATTATTTATGGGTTAAGATCATACCAGGCATGATCAGCGCAACAGCCAGGACTGGTAATATTTTGCTAACATTAAGGTAAACATTTAAATGCATGTTTATTTAGATAGATTAAAATTAAAATTTTTGTCATTTTGTAAATTCGTTTTCAGAGTTATTGATGAGAGTGATAAAAGTTTTGCCATGGGCATTATAAATTGCGTAATGTCATTGTTTGGTAATTAAAACCTAATTAAATCATTCAATTAATTATTTAATTTAAATGACCATAATGTTTAAACAATTTTAGTTTACATACCCTATCCAATTGTATTTGGTGCGATCGCCGACTCAGCCTGTCTGGTATATGAGAGTACGTGTGGTAAGACTGGTAACTGTTGGCTGTATGACCAGGATCGTTTCAGATATGTGCTGCACGGTTTTACATTGACCTTAATCATAATGGGCTCGCTGTTTGATCTGGGTATTATTGCTAAAGCCAGCCGAATTAAAAACTTTTATGATGATGATAGTGACGATAACAAGGATAATACTGTTAATAATAATGACCTTTGATATTAAATACAAATAAATATTACATTTTTATTTAAACAATTAGATGTAAAATTGGATTTTTTTTTACAAAATGTTATATTTAAAATATTGTAATTTTTTTAATGTATAATAATATTTTAACAATAGCCATTAGATAAAATATATAGTGTATTACTTGCTAATAAAATTATCAAACATCAGATATCAATAAATGGTCATGGTTATGTATGATAAAATTTTGATTAAATTGTTACTTGTTAATGATTTTATAAATGATATACTATTCCAATTTATGTTGTTATAGCGTAAAATTAAATGAATTCAAAATTATATCATACACGTACTGTACATATACATCCCAAGTTTTCTAAATAGATCCTATAAATTAATTTTATTATAAATAAACATTTTAAACACATTTACCAGAAATACAAATTTGTAACATGTCAATTAAACATAAAACAGACATAATAAAAATATTTGTCAGTTTACTCAAACTCTTTTATAATTAATTGTCATGAATAGTACTAAATGCCATTGAGATTAAATCAAGATTGAATTTATGTTTGGAAACTACATTAGTTTACAGACTTTACAATTATTAATCCATAATCTAATCTATTTGATAATAAACAGCAAACAACATATGATTTATTGAATGTTTAAACATATTCATTTTACATGTAACTAAATTAATATTGACATTTTGATTACAGTCAAGCCTTGGTCTATTAAATTAAATTCATTAGACTTATAAATTACATATTATACTATTTTAATTGTGATGTTAAATAGGAATTATGAAAAATAAACGTAATATCAATAATAATAATAACAATGATTTTGACAAAGAAAAACAGGATGACCATATGGTCACTAGTTGTGGACTCGGGTCGTGGAGACCGGAATGGCTACAGGTGTTCGCCAAACCCATCTATTTTATAATAAGCTATTCACTCATTGGTGTTGTCCAGAGTATGTCCTCAACGTATTTGTTTGCAGTGTTGACATCAATTGAAAAGCGCTATGCGTTTGACTCTAAAATATCGGGCATTATATTAATTGCCGACAACATTATGGAAATGTTGGTAAGTATATATCAAAATTAATTATACATTTTTTATTTATTTTAATAAAACAATGTCACTTCCATTTAATATAATAAAGTAACAATTTTAAAATAAACATTAGTTATAAATAATAATAGGTCCAACTTTATGTATTGCTAAAAACAAAGTGTATTTGTATCTAAAACATAATTAAAATTTTGTTAACATTAGCTCAGCACACTTATCGGATATCTGGGCAATCGGTACAGTAGACCCAAAATGATAGCAATTAGCGAAATGATCCTGGTATTATCATGTGTGATCAGCGCGTCACCATACTTTATATACGGCCCGGGAACACACCTACTATACGACGAAACACTCCTATCCAAAATGACTGCCAATAACACGCGTTACGAGTTATGTTCGGCAAGAACTGATACAATGGATTGTGCGGCAAAAGGTGGTCACTCTACTATATGGGGAGCTGTTATTATGCTGGTAATTGGCAGCGCGTTGAGAGGTATAGGCTATACAGCGTACTGGGTATTTGGTTTGGCATTTGTGGATGATAGTATTAGCAAAAAGAGTTCACCACTTTATATGAGTTTAATGTGCATATTGAAAATGATCGGGCCCGCCGGTGGATTTTTACTAGGCTCGTTTTGTCTCAAATATTACGAAAATCCATTTTGTAAGCTAACTGTAATGTTTTAACATGCAATATAATAACCACGTGTTTTTAAATAGTCGATCCACATGTATCAAGCAGAGATCCGCGTTTTATTGGCGCATGGTGGATTGGATTTATAGTGATCGCTGTACTATTGTTCATAGCTACACTACCAATGTTTTTATTTCCACGACAGTTTAAAGGGGCCTCGGTCAAGGAGAAAGACCGTGTTGATTACGATAATAGTGTACAAGGTAATTTATATAAATATTAGATAAAATGTATGTGAGTTAGAGGTTAGTAATTAAATATTTCACTGGATGTTTAAATAGGATTCTGGGAATGTTGCAAAAGGCTATTAACAAATCCATTATTTATGTATAATTTGATTGGCAATGCTTTTCGTTATAATGGCTACGCGGGCTATGGAGTGACCAAGCCCAAATACATTGAGTCCCAGTACAGAGTGTCCGGTAGCAAGGCCAATTTATTAACAGGCGTTACCGGAATGCTGCCCGTGGCCATTGGAGTAATTTTGGGCGGTGTTGGGATACGATATTTAAAACCCAGACCATTTATCTTGCTAATTTACATTTTTGCCCTGGAATGGGTATCGAATGGTAGCATGTTTGCGTCGATGTTTTTGGGCTGTCCACCAATACAGCTAGGGCCAAACACGGAAATGGCAAATACCAAGTACAATTTATTTGCAATTTAAAGCAACAAGGTTAATAATTTTTTTTGACAATTAATTTAGATTTACAATGAATGCTGATTGTAATCTGGGCTGCGAATGCACTACCAGTGTATTCACGCCAATGTGTTCGGCCGATAAAGTGACTACATATTTCTCGCCATGTTTTGCCGGTTGTACGCATTTAGATAAAAACACCGGGGTATTTATTCAATTATTAATTCTAGTATTGAGAAATAACTAATAGTTAACTCATGATAAATTGTTTAAGATGACTTAATAGTGTAAACATAATTAATTTGTTATTTTACAAATAGATCGCCACTAATTGCTCATGCATATCTGATCATGGTGGAGTAGCAAATAATGGTTATTGTCAAAGTGATACCGACAGTTGTGCAAATTTGTACAATTATTTAATGGTTAAAACTCTACCATTTATGCTAACGTCAACCGCTAGAGTTGGTAACATTTTAATTGGTTTAAGGTTAATATGATCTAGTTGTTAAATGACATAGATAATAACAGTAGTTTATAAATTGACAAAATTAATACATTGTACTAAATATTGCAGAGTAATTGACCCAAGAGACAAAAGTTTTGCCATGGGTTTTGTAAATGGGTTTTTAGCCATTACAAGTAAGTTTTTAAAAATATTCAATGTTATGATTATTAAGTAATATTTAATCTTATTAATTGTTGCAGCATTTATACCCTATCCGATTATATACGGCGCGATCGCCGACTCTGTCTGCTTGGTATGGGAGAGCACATGCGGTAAGACAGGTAACTGTTGGTTGTATGATGCAGACCGTTTCCGCTACACATTACACATTGTCACCTTGGTGTTTTTTGTGATCGGCTCCTTAATGGACCTTGGTCTAATTGCTAATGCTAGCCAAATGAAAAATTTTTACGAAGATGAAATTGATGATGACGTAACTGATAATAAAAGTAATGATTGTAAAGATGATGACGGTAACAATGTTAATTTGAAAATCTTTAATACTATTAATTCTGATAATATAAAACATAATAATATTGATTAAACAACAATTATATAAACTAATATATAGTTAAATGACCAAAAGTATAATTTGCTGATATAAATTAATTAATATTAACTGTGCAAATGTTCATATATTATCAATATATTTGTATACTTTTTTTAGTTATTAAATGCAATTTATAAATTATCAATTAAATAAATATAAATGTAATTAATAAACTTAAGTGTTGAATTATTTAAAAGAATGTCATGTGTATTGATTTTAAAATTCTAAATCCATAATCTAATCAATTTGAAAATAAACAGTAAATACTTGTAATTTTTCATATGTCACAAAATATTATATTTATATAAATTAATATTTAATTAATTAATGATACATAACAATAAATACATAACTAAATAAAGTGTCCGATTAAACAAGAATAATGAAAAATAAATATAATAAGCAACATCATTACAATAAAAATCATGATGACCACATGATTACAAGTTGTGGACTCGGGTCGTGGAGGCCCGAGTGGTTACAGGTGTTCGCCAAACCAATCTATTTTATCATAAGCTATTCACTTATCGGTATTGTCCAGAGTATGTCCTCAACGTATTTGTTCGCAGTGTTGACATCTATAGAAAAGCGGTTCGCATTTGATTCCAGGATATCGGGCATTATATTAGTAGCTGACAACACTATGGAGATGCTGGTATGTATTATCATCATGAAATTTAATTTATAATTTATTATATGTCCCAAGATAATAGGAAAACATTGTTAATCTGATTGACACCTAAAAATTATTTTTATAATATTAAATTAATTATTATTATTAATTAAAAATTAAATTCTAGAATTACAAATTAAATTAGCTTTATAAACACAATGTAATATTTATTTTAAATCCATAAACATAAATTTATTTTATCTAAGCTAAGCACACTTATCGGCTATCTTGGTAATCGTTACAGTCGCCCTCGTATGATTGCAATAAGCGAAATGATCTTGGTGTTATCAAGCGTAAGCAGCGCGTCACTATACTTTATTTACGGCCCGGGAACACACCTACTATACGACGATATTCTTAGGTCAAAAATGGCCGCAAATAATACCCGGTATGAATTATGTTCAGTCAAAATTCACACAACGGATTGTACAGCAACTGGTGGTCACTCTACTGTATGGCCCGCGGTAATTATCTTGGTAATTGGCAGCGCGCTGAGGGGTGTCGGCTATACTGCTTATTGTGTGTTTGGATTGGCATTCATTGACGATAGTGTTAGCAAAAAAAGTTCACCACTTTATATGAGCCTATGGGCCATATTGAGAATGATTGGACCCGCCGCTGGTTTTTTATTAGGATCGTTTTGTCTCAAATTCTACGAGAACCCATTTTGTAAGCTGACCCTAATGTTTTACTATTTATTATAATAACCATGTGTTTGTTTCAAATAGTCGACCCACATGTTTCAAGCAGAGATCCGCGTTTTATTGGCGCATGGTGGATTGGATTTTTAGTTATAGCCGGACTGTTATTTCTGGCCACTCTACCGATGTTTTTGTTTCCAAGGCAACTTAAAGGGGCCTCGGTTAAAGAGAAAGATCGTATCGATTACGATAATAGTGCTCAAGGTAATTTTAATAGTTATACGTAAAATAAATAAATTATGACAAATAAATTACAAACTGACTGTTTATGATGTAGGATACTTTCATTGTGTGGCTGGATGAAAAATTTCTACGATCCTGAAATTAATAATGATAATAATAAAAACACTAATAACGAGAATAATCATGACACATCTGTGGATTTAAATATACATAATTCTGATCAAACAATTTTGAATGATAAATCTAATAATGATTAAATTCTATGATTAATTAAGTTGCAAGATTTATATCTAAAAATTTTATAACAATTTTGCAAAATGTATTTATGTTTACAATAAATTTAATATATTGTATAAATTATTGAAATTAAATATAAATATTAATTAATTATTCTTGAGTTACAATTATTTTTTAACACAGTTTAATTAATATCAAATTTATTTGTATCGATAATAAATAAATGATATGTTATCAATATATGATAGATGTTTTATTAAATATGATAAAATAAAATTTTTGTTTTCAATTAAAATTATTTATATTATCAATATCTAGATTTTGATTAGACTATCCTTGATATAAAGTTTTACTATGATTGCAATTACTATTAATTAAATTGCATGGTTTCAAATTAATTATATGTAACATATAAAATATATAATTATCTATTTAACTTACATAATATTTAAATATTGTATAACATAATAAATAATAAGTTTAAATTTTGACAATAATAACAGTTATTTATTTTACATTTAATATTAAAATTAAAACTAAATCATGGTAAACAAACATAATAATCAGCATAATAAAAATTCTCACGAGGATGACCAGATAGTGACCACGTGCGGACTGGGCACGTGGAGGCCCAGATGGCTACAGGTGTTCGCCACGCCCTTCTGGTTTGCCATAGTGTACGCCCTGATAGGTGTGGTGCAGACAATGTCCACAACGTATTTGATAGCAGTGTTAACATCAGTGGAAAAAAGGTTTGGGTTTGACTCAAAAATATCGGGAGTTATATTAATAGCCGATAATATTGTTGAATTGTTTGTAAGTGTTTTTCTATCTTGATTATATTATTTGAAACAATATTTTTACTAAAAATAAATAAACGTGGTGTTTTGTTTAATTTAGCTAAGCCCACTTGTTGGCTATCTGGGCAATCGCTACAGTAGACCGCGTATGATCGCTGTTAGTGAAATGATCCTGGTGTTATCATGTGTAATAAATGCCGCGCCTTACTTTATTTACGGCCCGGGAACACACTTACTCTACGACGACACCCTACTGTCCAAAATGACAGCCAATAACACGCGTTATGAGTTGTGTTCGGCCAAAGTTGCTACAATTGATTGTACAGCCAAAGGTGGTCACTCTACTATATGGGGAGCTGTTATTATGCTGATTATAGGTAGTGCGCTGAGGGGTGTTGGATACACAGCGTACTGGGTATTTGGTTTGGCATTCGTGGATGATAGTGTTAGCAAAACTAGCTCGCCACTTTATATGAGCATGCTTGGTATATTGAAAATGCTGGGCCCGGCCGGTGGTTTTATGTTTGGCTCGTTTTGTTTGCGATTTTATGAAGATCCGTTTTGTAAATTTATATAATAATAAATTATGTAATTTATTTTTGATGAATTAAGATTATTTTATTTACAGTTAACCCTAATGTAAAAAGTACAGATCCGCGATTCATTGGTGCATGGTGGTTAGGATTTTTAGTAATCGGGGCGCTATTGTTTCTTGTCAATCTACCCATGTTCTTATTCCCAAAGCAACTGAAAGGCGCCTCGGTCAAAGAGAGCGATCGTGTTGAATATGCAAATAGTCATGGTAATATTTTCATTTTTATACAGCATAGTTATTTAATAAATACATTGTACAAATTTAATTTATAATTAATTAACTAATGAAACATGTTAATTATATAGGGTTTATGGACTGCACGAAACGGCTGCTAACAAATCCACTGTTTATGTTCAATCTGATTGGCAATGCATTACGGGATACGGGTTATGGAGGTTACGGTACGACCAAGCCCAAATACATGGAGTCCCAGTACCGGGTGTCGGGCAGCAAGGCCAATTTATTAACGGGTGTGGCCAATTTATTGCCAATGGCAGCTGGTACATTAGCGGGTGGTATTGGGATAAGGTACATTAAACCTAGAGCATTGTACTTAATTATCTACATGTTTTGCCTGGAATGGGTGTCAAACTTGACCATGTTGGCGTCAATGTTTTTGGGCTGCCCACCCCTACAACTCGGGCCCATTGGTGATACAGAAACAACCACGTATGTTTTATAATTATATTTAGTTTAATTTATTTTACAATAATTAATTGTTTATCCATAGATTCACAATGAGTGCCGCGTGTAATCAGGGTTGCGATTGTACTACCAGTGTATTCACGCCTATGTGTTCAGCCGATAGAGTGACCACGTTTTTCTCTCCGTGTTATGCCGGCTGCACAGATTTTGATAAAGTTACCGGGGTAATCATTAATTTATTAATTAAATAATACTTCTTATTGAATAAATGTTGTAATATTGTTTAGTAATAATATTTAAAACTATAGATTGCCACTAATTGCACGTGCATAAGTGATCATGGTGGACTCGCGACAAGTGGATACTGCCAGAGCGATGCCGACAATTGTACAAACTTGTACAATTTTTTAATGGTCAAAACTTTACCAGCAATTGTCACTTCAACAGTTAGGACTGGCAATATTTTACTAGCATTAAGGTGAATAAAAATTAATTATTAATGCAATAAATAATTCAAGTATTTTAAAAATGCTTTATAAATTAATTGTTCAAACTTACAGAGTTATTGATCCAAAAGACAAAAGCTTTGCCATGGGTTTTGTGAATAGCTTCTTGGCCTTATTTGGTAAATAACAAATTTTAATCATAATCATTAATGGTTAGAGGGAGGCCGGGGCTGAAACATATTGAACGTGGTTAATGAATCATCAAGTTTATTAATCAACTATTATTCATGATAAACGTTACAATAATTGCAGTCATCAAGTGCCCTGATGCTAATAATGTTTATTAATATATAGTAAATGAGTTTAAACCCCACTTGTTATATTAGTATACTCTTTATATGAATGAATTATGAATAGTGTATAAATAATAACACATTTGAATAATGCTGTGTCCACGCAGGTGGACAAACCGGGCATACTTGATCATAATCATTAAAAAAATTCATTTTTAAATAAAAAATAATGGTAATTACTATATTATCATAACGATTTTTACTGTATTTTTAGCATATATACCATATCCACTTATATTCGGTGCAATTGCCGACTCAGTCTGTTTGGTATGGGAGAGTACGTGTGGTAAAACCGGTAACTGTTGGCTATATGACCAGGATCGTTTCCGATACGTACTACACGGCGTTACACTTGCGTTAATAATAGTTGCGTCACTTTGCGATGTGGTTATTATAATCAAACATAAAATGGTAGAAAACTTTTATGATGATGATGATAAAAACTCTAAAAGTAATACAGATGATGATGGTATTGTTTTAGATACAGTAAATGTTAATGTTATTGCGAATGTAGATAATCATGATACTGATATATCAGTAAATTTAGACAATAAAAAATTATGACATGTGAATTATAAAATGTGAAAATATTAAGACATTTAGTAACAATTTAATTATAAATATTTAATCTATTTAACAATGTATTTATTAATATTAATGACGGATTTGCACCACAACATTAGATATTGTATTTCGGTAAATGTGTCGTGTATACGCATTGTTTAGCTTCATTATGATTTGCAATTTATAATTTTTTACTAAATTAAACAGGCGCACGAATAATATTTCCAATTTTAATTTAATAAACAAATCTTTCAAATATTCCGTAAACATAATGATAGAGAATCCAAACCATAGACTAATAACACTCGCCGTTAGACTAATGTATTCTTCGGCAGACATTTTCAATGATATTTCGTATTCAGTCGTCGATTCTGCTCCATAACCTATGACCAGGAAAGTATTGTGTGGTTCATCTAGTTGATAACTATGAAATTTTTTTGGATAATAATATTCCGTACATTGTGATATATATTGAATCTTTCTAGTACACTCTATTTCAAATTGAATGGAATCTATATTGGTAAAATACTTATCATGGAATTGATCAATATTTGTAATATCATAGAACATATATTGTGGATATAATGTTGAATTCCATTGTAGATAACGTGATTGAATACATTTATACATCATATAATAAGGATCATAATCATCGATACAATATTTAGCCATTTTATTGTATTTTATTATAATCTTATCGTATCTGAAATAATTTATTGTGTAATTTGTCGGCTTTGATATTACCATATGTCGAGAATGATGATAATAAATGCGTGTATTTACTAAATGAGTATATACTAATAAATAGTTTAGTTTAATATATTTATTTTCATTTATGATTATACTCATTATTTCATTAAAAAATGATTGGGTTTGGCTAACATTAGTGGTGATAGTGAAACAATAAAACATATTGTTAATGGCAATATTAATATATTTGCATTTACTTATATCACTGTTATACTTCCTGAATGTACAAGGTACTTCTATTTTCATTAATGACTTAATTTGTTTGCCAATAGAAAGTTGATTAAATTTTGCAATATTAACAATTGGTTTACTCGCACTGTAATAATAGAGATGTTTTAAATCTTGTTTAATTAGCACTGATTTTGCAATACATATAGTGAACGCCGTGTCTCGAAGAGAGACATCTGTATTGTATTTAACATTAGTTGTGGTTTCGTATAAAAAATATAATAAACTTATTTTATACGTTTGATACACACATCCCATCAAACATAACACGTACGCAAAAATTTGATATATCATTTTTATTGAAACAAGCATAGTTGGTTGTAAATAGGTTTTGTTTTAAAATAAATTATATTAACTGAAACTTTAAAATAATCTCTCTTAAGACAAACTGTTACTTATATTTTTGCATTAACATACTCTAACATATTTCAAGTTTAATAGAAATATAACAACTTTTATATTTAATATCACACACAAAATGACATTAAATATTTGCAATATTTGTAGTGTTATTGTCATTTTAATTATTTCATTATAAATAGTAATAGAAATATAAAACAACACCCTATTCAGGAAATAAATTAAAATCAATATATCACTCTAATTAAAATGCTAATTAAATATATTTAATGTTATCCATTATGTGAAAACGCCTAAAATTCCCTTGTAGTCAAAACTGAATTTGTAGGTAAATTCCTGAAAATCTAAAGTTATCAGGGAAATGGATAACAATAAAAAAATCATTTAAATAATTTTTATTATTTTATGTCTAAATTGTTTCAAAAGTATAAAATATTATAAAAATATTCTAATTTAATACAATAATCAAATATACTTACAATGTATTTATTTAATGTTTGTATAATGTTTTTTAATGAATAACAATAAATTACTTACAAATTACTTGTTAGAACTCATATACCATTTCGTAATCATTTAAGGGGAAATATTAAATTTTGATTAAACAATGATTTACAAAATGATTAAATTTAAACTAATTAAATAGATTTAACCAAATACTCTTCTCAATTATGTTTCATCATGTTACGACATGTGTAATATACATGTATATGATAATAGTATTTATAATCATGGATTGGTCATCATTTGCCCACATTTGTGTTACTTTATTCCAATTTTAAGGAATATAAAACAAAATTTCCGGCGCAAAACTATTTTCCAGGAATAAATTTTCAAAAATGGAAATAGATAACATTAAATATAGCAGAAAATATTTATATTAATTATTACGCAAAATTTGTTATTTTTTGAATTATTACAATTTTGTATAAGCCATGGCAACAACTGAAAATGTATTACTTACATTAAATAAATAATTAATATTTTATTTTTTAAATATATGTTCATTTAATATAAGAATTGTATTAAAATTATTGTTATACATAATTATTGTTATTTATTAAAATTAAATTGTTTTATAACTAAAACTATACATAAATTATGTATACAAGTGACCACTGCCAGAGCGATGCCAACAATTGTACAAATTTGTACAATTTTTTAATGATCAAAACTTTACCAGCAATTGTCATTTCTAAAGTTAGGACTGGCAATATTTTACTAGCATTAAGGTAAATAAAATCTAATTTTTAAAACAACACAAAAAATTTAAATATTTTAAAAATAGTTTATAAATTAATTGTTAAAACTTACAGAGTTATCGGTCCGAAAGACAAAAGCTTTGCTATGGGTTTTGTAAATAGCTTTTTGGCATTGTTTGGTAATTAACATATTTTATCTATAAACATTCTAAATAAAATTGTACTGGTAATAATTATATTATCATAATGACTTTACTATATTTTTAGCATACATACCATATTTACTTATATTCGGTGCAATCGCCGACTCTGTCTGTTTAGTATGGGAAAGTACATGCGGTAAAAGCGGTAATTGTTGGCTATATGACCAGGATCAATTCCGCTATGTACTACACGGCGCTACCCTTGCTTTAATAATAGTGGCCTCACTTTGCGATGTGGTTATTATAATAAAACATAAAATGGTAGAAAATTTTTATAATGATGATAATAATAAATCTGAAGTTAATACAGATGATGATGGTATTGTTTTAGATACAGTAAATGTTAATGTTATTGGGAATGTAGATAATCTGATAGTGATATATCAGCTACTTTTGACAATATACAATTATGATTTATCCAAATAATAAAATGTAAAAAGTTATATATTTACATTATATTAAAATAAATTTAAAAATTTTACAAAATAGATAACTTGTTTTTGAACATGTAAATTATTGCAAATTAAATTATTAATATTTATATTAGATAATGAATTATTGATGTTTTGCAAAATATACTAGTTAATATTCAAAATGTTAATATTTATAACATTAATACGATTTGATTGTCTATTAATAATATACTTAGATTGTAATTTTATTTTACAATTATTATATTTAATTGTAAAATAATTATTAATTACTTTAAATAAGTTTATTAATCGTCTCTCAATATTTAATTTAATAAATAAATCTTTCAAATACTCCGTAAACGCAATGATAGAGAACCCAAACCATAGACTAATAACACTCGCCGTTAGACTAATGTATTCTTCGGCAGACATTTTCAATGATATC